AGTTTATGAGTTTTAGTGCTATTGTTAATGAGATCTTTTTTCTTGTTGCGTGTCTAATTGGTTGTTTCTGGTGTATCAGGATGCTACTGACTTCTATACATTGATCTTGTATCCAGTCACATTACTGAATTGTTTTGTTAGTTCTAATGGTTTCCTAGCCAATTCTCTTGGATGTTTTAAATAGGTGCTAATTTCATCTGCAATATTATGGGCGAGTAATGATCGTTTGTCCCTCTCTTTCCTAGTAGGTATATTTCTTTATTCTTACCCTAATGTGCTGTCAGGACCCTCAACACAATGCTAAGTAGTGGTACCCGGCATCCTTGCCATGTTCCTGAGGTTAACAGGAATATTTCTAACACCTTCCCATTACTTCACGCAGCTTCTACCAGCAGCCAAAGCGTATTTCAGACAGACTTCAAACTCAGGGCGATGCTTTCTAGTCCCTCCGGTTACTCAGTGTCCAGACAGCAGTAACAGCTGACTCCCCCTCCCCGTTAGACTAGTCTCTCTTCTTGGTTTCCACCATGTCACGATGGAGGTCGATGCAGGATCTATGGGATCTGAAGTTCACATAAGTCAGGAAATGCTCCCTGAGAAAAAGAAGTCCAGAAGAGAGAAACCTACAAAGAAAGCAGATCAGTAGTTGCCCAGGGCTTGGGGTGAGTCACGGGATGGCACCTGAAGCATACGGGTTTTGGGGGGTGATGAGGAGTTCTAAAATTGACTGTGGTGATGGTTGCACATATGAGTCTACCAAGACCACTGTACGTGAGAGTGTATCAGTTACTACTGCTCTGAGTCTATTAAGACCACTGAATGTGAGAATGTATCACTTAGCTACTGCTCTACTAAGACCACTGAATTTGAGTGTATCACTTAGCACTGCTCTGAGTCTACTAAGACCACTGAATGTGAGTGTATCACTTAGCACTGCTCTGAGTCTACTAAGACCACTGAACGTGAGAGTGTATCACTTAGCTACTGCTGTGTAACAAGTCATCCCAGAGCCTAGTGGCTAAGACACCAACCATTTATTCAGCCCCAGATCCTGCAGGCCAGGGATTTAGGCTGGGTCTTGGCTGGGGGTCCCGCTGGTCTCTCCCAGTTCCCCTATGCAACTGTAGTCAGCTCTTGGGACTGGTGGGCTGGGGCCGGGTGCCTTGGCTCCCCCCAGGGGATCTCTCATCCCAGCTGTGTCATAGCGTCCAGCAGGCCAGCCCCTGGTCCACCGTGAGCCTGAGGCCTGAAAGAGGGCAGAAGGGTGCTGGGTCAGAGGCCTGGGCTCACACCAGATGCTGCCCCTACCCCACGCCCTGCTGGTCTAAGTGTGCCATAAGGTCAGCTCAGAGCCAAGGATGGGGACCGACTCCACTTCTTAGGGAAGGGCTCGAGGCACCTTGTGCAGAGTATGGGTACTGAGCAGGATGGGGAGCCATGCGGGGCTGCGTGGGCCTGATGTGGGGTGGGGACTTTATCCCAAGTGCAGTGGAGATGAGGATGTGGCAGGGAGGACATGAAAGTCACCGTGGTTCAGACCAGGCTGTGTGGTGGGTGAGGATTCACAATATCTGAGGGTGCAGGCGGCTGAAGGTGGTGCTGGGTGTGCTGTGAGGGTGGAAAAAGGGTGTGCTCCCAGAGCTGGCTCCAGGAGCGAGGGTGCAGCAGAGCTGGGGGGGGGGCAGGGCTGCGTGCGGGCCAAAGGTCATTTATGACATGCCAGTTTGGGGGCACCAAGACACCTGGGGTACACTGGTCTGGCATCTAGCTGACTGGGTAGACAATGGCCACAGCCTGGCGGGCACTTACTGCTGTGGCTGTAACTCAGGGAGATCATGCCAGGGCTCGAGTCCTGCCTGATTCCCACTCCCGAGTCGCTTCCCGGCCCCACAGCTGCTGGAGCGCAGTGAGGTGGGGCATGCAGCAAGTAGCCCCACAGGCCCTCCTTGTGCTCTCCTGAGGGAATGAGGGGAATGACCTGGACAACTGTGCCCTCGGGAAGTCCAGCCATGGGGCTGTGCTAACCCCTGGGGACCAGGAATGTGGCACAGTCCCCAGCTCAGGGGATGCATGGGGGTCAGGTTGTAATGGCATTCACCCCGAGTCCATCTCCTGTGCCTGCGGTTGGACCCTGAACACACTTGGGGTCATTCTCCAGAGTCCCTGAGTCTCCACAGGAATGAACAGCCTTAGCACATGGCTGGCCTCCCAGGCCTTGACTTGGACGTGGGGCCATCCTCAGCAAAACTGCAGAGGCCAGCACCCCCAGCCCAATGAGGACGAGAAGTTTGTCCTGTGCGGCCCTTTCGTCTTTTGGGTCAGTGAGGACAGGGCCATGTGGCCAGGGGAGAGGACACAGGGTACTGGACCCACTGCAGCCGCTGTCCAAGATGGCTCCCCTGCCAGGGGCACACAGTGAGGCCCTGTCTCCTGCCTTGCCCGGGACATGTGCTTTTCAAAGCGATGTGTTTACAAAGTTGAGCAGGAAGGTGGCCCCCACCCAAAGCCCTGACAGCCCTCTCCCGGCGTCTGCGTGCCGTTGGCTGCATCTCGCAGGTCCTCCTGGGTCATCTGTGGCCTCACTCATGGTTTACCGAGAGCTTGCAGGGTCGGGGCCTGTGATAGGTATCGGGAGACGGGCACACACCAGCCAGAGGCCCTCTACCCTCAGGAAGTGTGCCGTGTCAGGGCCAGAGGTGTGCAGAGAGGAGGGGAGGTGGGAGAGGGAGGCCTGCGAGGGGACAACCACCAGGTCCCTGTTTGGGCTGGATCTTGAAGACAAGGCCGAAGCAAAGCCGCCCAAGAAGTGGGCAACCGTGGACACCTGGGGGGCCGGCAACACGAAGCTGGGAGTGGCAGTACTTCTGTGTCCTCCAGTCCCACACGAGGTGAACCGGGTACACTGAAAAATAAAAAGAGTTAACTTTCTGCGACTCACAGGCACCTCGACCACGGCCAGTGCACGTGGGGAAGGGAAGTCCTACCACACGCATGACCGTCCCGACTGGCAGACGTGTGTGGGGTCGGCGTGGACAGGGCACCTCCCCACGTCTCCTCACCGGGCCCCATGGCAGCCATGGGGCGCGTGCCACAAAAGGGAGTGCGGCTTCCGGGCGAATACACACCGTCAACAGAGGCGGCTGCCGACACCCGTAGGAGAGTATCACAGGGGACACAGCCACGAGGTCCTGGCATCGAGAAGAATGACGTGAAAGTGGACTATCTTAGCAGTTCCCCTGAAAATGTCATTCTCCTGGTGGGTGTGAGAGCTGGGCCGGCAGGTCCTTCCAGGGCCGAGGTAAACCCTGACCCTGTCCTCCCGAATCTGACCCAAAGGTGCCTAGTTCTGTACACTCTGCGTGAACACCACCTCGAGCCCCGAGCGTTCAGGGGAGGGAGACGTGGTGCTGAGGACCACCACCACTGGGGGAAGTTGCAGGGAGCTGCGCTCTACCCACGAAAATAATCAAACAGAGTGTTAAATGGCCCACCCCCAGTCACCAGTTCAAAGTGGCAGGACAAGGATCAAAGTCGGGTCTGCTGGCCCCAGAACCTGAGCGTGTGCCTGTGAGCTAGCCTACCCCCTTTAAAGACAAGCAGAAAAGCAGCCCAGTAAAGGGAACTGACACCTAACCTGCTGAACGAGCACCCAAAGTCAAAGTCTACTAATAGCGTGCGCGTTTGCTCATGGAAGGGCGTCAAACCCATGTTCTCAGAAATTTCCTCTTTGTTAAGTCACAACTCCAGCAAACCTTGACAGTCGGTTTCCCTTAAAGAGAAAGGAGAGCAGGGACAAGCAGGCCATGGTACAGGTCGGACCTTTTACACACTCCCTCAGGTATACATTTCCAGCCCTGTCGCCATCACTGTATTTTAGAAAGGATGAAGGTTTCTCGCGATTTCTTCCTCCTACTCTGGAAACCCGGGCTGTGTAGGACCTTCAGGGCACTGGTGACAGCTGCCGCCTGGAGACTTGTCCCCACACGTGACTATGGGGCCAGCGCTGCAGGCAGTCGGTGTCCCTCCTCCCAGGCACCTGCTGGGTGCCAGCCCTCAGGCAGCTCTCAAATGATTTGTTAAATTAATTTTTTAAAAGTCAATTAAGGTCAGTACACTGTGTTTAGAGAATAATATATTTACACAAGAAACTTCTATCAAAATTATTAAAATAAAAATTTGGTACTTAAATAAGTTCTGGGAAGTCCGTTTCTTCCCTGATGCCCTCCTGCCGTTTAGCTACAGCAGAGCCCCGGGCTCCCGCGAGCACGGCCTCCTTCCGCGCTGGCCCTTCCAGCAACGCCAGCAGGAGGCGGGCAGCTGTCCTCATCCTCACTGCTCCTTCCGTAACACCCTTCCCTCCTCACTCAAGGCTCCAGCCTTGCTGTGTGCCCTCCCATGTCTGTGGACACCTGGTCTCGCCAGCTCCTGGCAGGCTCTTGCTGTCCCTGCTCTTGTCTCAACTCTCCGCGATGCGGCTGTCCACGAAGGAACCCCCGGCACTGGTCTCAGTCCTTGACTCCTCCCCTCCCCCATGTCTCCCTCCTTCAGGCCCTTGTCTGTTCTGCTCAGTGCTGCATCCCCAGGAGCTAGCACAGAGCCGGCCCAGAGCAGCCGCTCAATAAATACTTGTTGAATGAATGCACTTACGTGGGACACCTAACTGAAGTATAACCCACGGATTGCAAATGCGGCCTTAATGAGTAACTTTAGAGAGAGAGAGAGATGATGGATAATTTTGCCAGCGAGGGAGGAGGGGAGGGCTGTGCAGACGCGCAGTTCGGCCCCGCGGGAAGGAAGCGCGGAGACCCGCGGCGCGGTCACGCAAAGCCGGGTGCGGGCCCACGCGCGACTCCGGACCCCGCCCCGCTGCCCACCGGCCCCGCCCACACCACGCTCTCCTCTACAGGCCCCGCCTCCGCCAGTGAGGCCCCGCCCCTCCCCGCCGGCCCCGCCCTCTCCTCGCCAACCCCGAGGGAGGCCCGCTCACTAGGCCCCGCCCTGCCCCAAGCTCCGCCCCTCGTCGCCGGCCCCGCTCCCTTCCCGCTCGCTCCGTCAGAAGCCGGCCGTCTCGCTCTCTGTCCACAGACCGGTGATAGACAGTCGTCGGTCGTTCCACCCGAGGTCAGTCACTACAGCGGTCCGTCAGCCGCGGACCCTCAGAGAGCTGGCCGTCCGGGGTCCGCCCTCATAAGCGCAGGTTCGGCCGCCGGTGGACGCGTGCCAGGCGCTGCTGGGCCCTTGGAGCCCGGGCGGGAGGGGCGGCGGGGAGCGGACATGCACGCGCGAGAGCGAGGG